GGAATCTCCATCTCTGGAGATATTTAAGAGTAGGTTAGATAAATGTCTATCAGGGATGGTCTAGACAGTATTTAGTCCTGCCATGAGGGCAGGGGACTGGACTTGATGACCTCTCGAGGTCCCTTCCAGTCCTAGAATCTATGAATCTATGAAAGACACATGAGGAAGGCAGTTGTTTGAATGTGATCTGGGGATAGGGGGGGAGAACTCGTGGGTAGAGGCAGAAAGGATCACCTTCCATGATAGCTCTTTGATGTCAAGCAATTGCTAAGATGTAGATACTCCATGGAATCTGATATTTTGAGGACTGATGTTTGCTTGTCATTTTTGAGTCTTGTTTTGTGTGGTAAACATATGGGCTTTAATGAATCCTTCTGTTCTGAGTACATTTTGTCCTGCACTTCTCAAGTGGCCGGCGGCATCCTCATGCTCCACTGGGGCCATGACACAAGTGATTGTCAGAGTGGGATGTCTGGGGGGGCAGGGGAACTTGGATACAAGTCAACATAAATGACTGAGGGTATAAGAGATTAGGGAGGTGCTGGATTCTGTCTAGAAGAACTCCTATTTCTAGAGGAGGAAAGGAGACTCTAAACATCGGTGTAGAGGTGGATGCCCAAATTCACCCCACTCCTGGGTCTGGAATGGAATGGGGACTGCTCAGAAAAAAAATTTCCCTGGCAGAACAGGTGTCCACTCCTATTCTAAGTATCGTCTTCCAGCATTTCTTGAATTGGTAGCAGAAAGGGAGCTGAAAATATTCCTGGGGTAGCTAGATTCTCTAGAGTCCTGAGGAAAAGAACTACGGTATACTAGACACCCTCCTCCCCTCCAGGCCCAGGGATACAGCAGCATCAGGCTCAAGACAAGCCTCCAGATAGGAGAACAGCTTGAAAGGCAAAGAGAGCCCACTGAGGGGATGGTAGGAAGAAAGTTAAAGAAAGTTATTTCAGTAAGTGGAAAGGGAGAATAGTGAACAAATCTTCACCAGGTTTGAGTGTAGGGCAGAGGTGTGCAAATTGCGGCCCCCAGGCCCCTCCTGCCCAATGCTTGAGCTCCCAGCCGGCGAGGCTAGCTCCTGGCCCCTCCCTTGCTGTCCCCCTCCCCCACAGCCTCAGCTTGCCATGCCGCCAGCGCTCTGGGTGTCGGGGCTGCGAGCTCCTGTCGGGCAGTGCGGCTGTGAGAGCCACCGGCCTGCCCCGATGCGCTAGACTATATGGCAGCTCCCAGTTCTGGTGCTTTGAGCAGCATAAGGGGGCAGGGAGCGGGGGCGGGGAGGTTGGATAAGGGGCATGGGATCCTGGGGGACAGGGAGCAGGGGGCGGTTGGATAGGTGTGGGAGTCCCAGAGGACCTGTCAGAGGGTGGGAGTGTGGTTAGGAGTCAGGGCAGTCAGGGGACAGGGAGCAGGGGGGGTTGGATGGGGGTGGGGTCGTGGGGGGCTGGTTAGGGGCAAGTACAGAATGTTCCCACATTCTCTTGTGTATAGTTGGTGGATCTCCATAAAGGATCTAAACCATCTAAGAAGATTTTAAAAAATTGTGTATATGGGGACTGGAGAATTTCCCCTACTATAAGGTGATACTTAATATACAAAGGTGAGCATTATATATTATGCAGCATTTATAGCCTGGTGCCAAGCCTCCTGTATGACTTGGTATGAAGCTTGTGTGACAAGAAGGGAGGAAGGATGCCCTTCATTGAATTAGACCAGGATCTTTTGTGGTAACTGGAAAAGACCTACAAAAGTGGGATGCAATAGAAGAGGGTGAAGCATAAAGGAAAAGGAAATTAAGACTGTCAAGAGAAGGGGAGTTGGAAGTCGCAGGTTTATGGACTGTTTAGCTATGGCAAACCAGGTGCCAGCTCATGCCAAGGCCTCCATATCTCATTTGAACGCTGAGAAATACATAGTTGGAATTAGTCTAGCTCACCTGTTAGTATTGTTAAAATAGGTATTAGTTATAAAAAATGTGCTTAGTGTTTGGATGTTTATAAATTGTTCCAGGTATTGATCTCACTTATAACATCTGTGCCCTGTATTGTAAGATATTTGAGCGTTTGCATTGTAAGCTACCCTAACTGTATAAATCACCAGACAGGAAAGAGACACAAATTAAAGTGAAATGCTGGCTTCCAACAGAAGTTGTTAGGTCCTCCTGCCTAACAGAGAAGGCCCATCAATACTAGACAAATTATCGTGGATCATCAGAGGCCAAAAGATTTTGTTTGCTCTTCTCTTTCCCTCTCTCCGCACTCACATGAAGAGGAGACACACAAGTGAATTCCTTCCATCAGATAACAAGTATCAAGGGGTAGCCGTGTTGGTCTGTATCCACAAAAACAACAAGGAGTCCGGTGGCACCTTAAAGACTAACAGATTTGTCTTTAAGGTGCCACCGGATTCCTTGTTGTCCCATCAGATAAGTTTACAACTGGAAGCAGAATGAAGGGAAAGGGAATAAAAATTCCTAACAAGGAGAAACTAGCTCTATGCTGCTTGGACACTCAAGGGAAAAGTTTTTGAGGCATAAGCAGGAGTGTTTAGCCTGGGTTAGCCCTAAGGGGGAGACAGAGCTTGCCTACTATACAAGCTTCTATTACCTTTTGCAACTTAAATGTTTCAAAATCTGTCCTGAATGCCAGGAGGTAACCTATGGTATGAAAAGGCACCGTACATCTCTTATGCTGTTAACGGTAACTGAGATACCATTCCTCTCAAATAGCCAAAAAGATACTGGATCACTTTTCTGGTGAGATTATAACTGATCAGAGATCCAATTTTATATAGTCGGTTATGCAACAACTACATTGGAAAATACATGTCCGCAGGACAAAACCAACCTGTCATCCACAACCTGATGATCTTAAAGAAAGAGTTCAGTGGGTGTTGAGGTGGATTTTATAAAAGTTTATTAATACCACAGGGCCAAACTAGTATTAGTGGCTGCTATTTTCATTTGCCTATAGGAGTAAATGGTTTTGTTTTTCCACTGTTTGAGCTCCTTTCTCACCATAAGTAAAGAGCCCCTAGATATCCTGGTAAAAAGCTGGGAAACTAAAGCCAAAACATTGAAGGGCATGGCTAATTATGCAGTCTAGATTAGGCCAGTTGGCAGAAATGAGAGATTTACTGCTTGGGACATCTCAAAGCCTTTCAGAGAAAGCAGAAGGCCCAATATGTAAATGTTAAGGCAGTGTTAGAATTTTTATTAAAGCAAAATTTTGCTTGCAAGCTTTTGGCAAAATGACACAGCTCCTATGAAATCTTAAGGGAAGCTGGATCAGTGATGATATGAGGTTGTGAGATCCTATCAGGAATTGCTCATGCATATGTTCAGAGATGCTATAGAAAGTTCTTGGGAGACAGGATATGGATTTTAGTATACAGATGGACAAGGAGTCTTCTTGTTTCCTGAATGTGCATCTTAACAGAATTTCAGGAAGAGCTACAAGGAAAAGTCTTGAAGGTTTGTATTGACATTTGTGGTGAGACTAGGGAGAACTACCTTGATGCATCATACTATCACCTTCAAAGGTTCCATTAGGATGTATCTGTGCCACAACCATTTATCAAGGATGATGACAGCAGGAAGTGTGCTTATGCTAGATGTGGATTAGCCCAGTAGTTTTGGGGCTGAAATTATACAATTCTGCATAGATTTCTGAAAACATAATGCGGTATTCAAAGTTTGACTTGAATCTAATACTTCCCACTGAAAATCAAGTATATACTTTTGGCTAAATATATGTGCCCTTGATTTAAAGAAGAGTTAGTGGCCGGTAAGTTTCTCCCAGGAGCCAATGAAATAAACTGCATTTCAAATTCCTAGACCTGTGTACCACTTTACTGCCTTGCCTCTTGGAATAAAGAGTTGCTAGGTTTCACAATTTAATGGACACTTTTCTGAGGGGTTGAGAGGTCTATGATGCAGTCTGGTTGGGCCACAAATTGTTTATGATGCCACTGGTACATAGCTGCTCCTTCCCTAAGAATGGGAACCCTCACTGGAGGATTTCTCCCATACCCGGAGGATGGGATATTCCACTAAGGGGACAACGTGCCCCATTTTTAAGGACTTTCTTTTCTTCTCTGTGTGTCCCTGTGGGAGATGGGAGTCGCTGGTCCCTCGGGGATGCGATGTGTTTCTCTGGGCGTTGATTTCTTTTTTTCCCCTAGCTCAGAGGAGAGATGCGGGTTTGCCTTCTCTCCAGCCTAGGGCAAGGCAAGCCCCTGAGCTAATTTAGCTAGGCATTTACAGGAGCCTCCTCGCTCTTCTCCTCTGCCCAGGTAGATGAAGGCTAAGGTGTGGGTTCCCCAGCCCCCCTTCCACTTCACCCCTTTCCCGCCCACAAGCTGGGCTCGCGAGGGGGTGGGGGGTTCTCCTGACTCAGTTGGCCCCGGGGCGCCGGAGCAGAGTTCTCCCCGCTGACGTGACGCCTTCGCGGGAGAAGCCCAGCTCTGAAGCTTGCTGCTCCTCGCTCGGACCGGCTGCTCGCCCGGTCCCGTCGACGCGCGAGCAGCGCTGGGTCGGAGCCGTCCTGGCCAGCAGAGTCGGGCGTGGCTACGAGCCGCCGTGCGGGGCATTTCAGCTCCAACTAGTTGTATTTTAAAAAGCCGCTGACGAGCAAACTCAGCTGCCTCCCTCCTGCAAACGGGGGTCACTCTGCAATCAGTGCCTTTAATTGCATGCCATTTATTTCCGTATTGCCACGTCGGTGGCTGTAGCACACCTCCTCCCACTGCTGCTTTGCTTTTAGCAACCCGTCCCCCCCCCCCCCCCCCCCCCCGCTTTTTTTCTCCTCTGCTCCACCACCAGTCATCAGGCCAAGTTGCTAAGGAAACGGCTGCATGGCAACCGGCTCGGAGCCTGGGGGCCGTCTGCCGCTGCTGCTGCCGCTGCTGCTACTTCCCCTGCTCTCAGTCTCCTGCGCGCTTCCCTCCTCGCTAGATGGTGTGTGAGCCACCCGAGAAGAGACGCGTTCCGGACTCGGCCAAAAGAAACCAGGCGAGGCAGAACTCTGCCAGTGCCTTGGCTGCCTGGCTGGAGGGAAGACCCGTCACGAGTACCAGGGGCTGGGGACTGAGAGGAGCTGGAAGCTGAGAGAGAGCAGCCCCGAGCAGGGATGGACATGATGCTGTTGGTGCAGGGTGCTTGTTGCTCAAACCAGTGGCTGGCTGCTGTGCTCCTCAGCCTGTGCTGCTTGTTGCCCTCCTGCCTCCCAGCTGGGCAGAGTATGGACTTCCCTGGGGCAGCTGTGGACAACCTGGTGGTCAGAAAAGGGGACACGGCTGTGCTTAGGTAGGAAACCGAGCCTCTTCTTTACTTCTCTGTGCAAGTGAGTGAGAGCGTTGTGCAAAGCCATTTCCAAGCGACTGCCGGCATTTCTAATATGCGTGTTGGTTTAGCTACCTTAGAAGAGGAGGTTTTATTTTCACTCTGAGCATTAGAAAGATGGACATTTTGTAACACGCTCCGGCTTCTTCTTCTTTTTTTTTGTTTAAATCTCCAAGTCCAAGCAGCCCTGGTAAGAGTAGGTCCGGGAGAGGCGGTCCCACTTTGAAACTAGTGCTCAGTCATTCATGCCAACTCTTCCTATTCAGGAGGGCCGGTCCCTCTGCTTCTATTTCTCACTTGTCCCTTTCCAGAGCCATCCCAGTATTTCAGTGGAATTAAAAGGCGTGTCCGTATTATTCTTCCCCAATATCCCTATTTCTAGATATAGTAGCAGTTCTCAAGTGGTCTCCCTTTGCTAGGCGGTGTACTCTTCTACTCTGTTAAGTTTGGGAAGTTTTTTTTTTTATTTTTCCCCCCTTTGGAATAAGTTTGCTACTTTCTTCATAAGGCTTGTTTCTCTCACCTTGCTAAGCCTCTGAAAGATGTAATGGCTCATCAGAGATCAGCTATAGCCCAGTTACCTCCCTAAACCGAAGCAATTGCAGAAGGAGATACTCGCAGAAGCTCATTCTGTTTTTTAAATGTAAATTGCTACTCAGCAGTGTACAGATCTCAGCAGTTCTTCATAACTGCCCTCCTCAGATGTTTGAACACACATTATTCAGACAATTGCTGTATTCTCATTCACTGTGCAAGTCGGTATGTCTGAGTTGTATGGTCTCAAAATACATCTTCAGATGTGTATCTTTAAATATTAACATTGGGTGTCTTTGTTTAATAACCAATGACCAGTGCCTCTGTAATTTAATTCTATGGGTGTGGTATGTAATTCTATTAGGAAACTCTTAAGTCCTGATCTGTGGTGGAAATCATGTCCTACTTTAAATATTTAGATTTTAACCAAACCTAGTTTAAGAACACAGATTAGTCCTTGGGTTATAAATTCAGAATCCCTGCTCAGTTAATTTGTGTTTTGAGACAACTATTGACAGCAAATACCTTATTACAGAAGAATTTCTAAGACTTTTCACTAAACATTAGATGGATGCAAATAATACATACATGCTTTTTGAATAGTAAGTTTGTCTATGGAAGTTTGGAAATCCCTAGTGCTGGATAAAAATTCTACATGATGGTTTTTAATGTCTGTTATAGAACCTGCTATTCAAACATTCCTTGCCAGTATATTGCTCAGTTGTAAAGGGGCATTAAAGATTGCACAGTATTATAAGTGTATATAGTATGATTTTAGCTTTTTTGTTTCCTAATGATTAACATGAAAAGAACCATCCTGCAAGGACAACTACGAGTTCTAGTTTTACGCCATTAAGAGACTACATGCTTATAGTAACTCAGTTATTGCATCCCTTAATAAAGCTTGCATTCCATATGGTAACAATATTTTTTTCCAGTCCAGTTGGCTGGTGCAGAATTTGTTTACCAGTAGTAGTGCACTGTACTTAATATAGCTGAATCCTTCTATTTGACTCAAATTTATTAATCTTCAGTTTAAAACTGCAAAAATTCAAATTTAGTTTTTTGATACACTTTACTTTGTCACGATAGTTTGTAGTAATTAAAAAAATCATTTTCTTAGTACTTCAGATTTGATAAGAATAGGCTGAATCTTCTTGTGTTTTGTAAATCTAGACTTTAATCTGCAATAGTTTTAAACCACAAACTATTTGGCTATAGACCATTTTCTTTTCCCTTTGGAAGTAGCTGATTTAGGCTTCCAGATTAAAAAGTGACTTAGCCAGATACAGTTTTCGTGGATTTCACAATTTTCTTGGAAAATATTGCATAAGATTTCCTTGAGTGTTCTGATGTTGTATCTGCTGAGAATACAACCAGTGTCTATGCAGTGCAACTGACAGACTTTTTTATGTATAGGAATATACTGCAGTTAGTCTCCTAGGGCATTCTAAAACCATGAATTCACTTGCTTTGGTTTCTCTGTTTTTGTAGACAGACGTATTTTGCTGTTACATTTCCTATCTTTATTTTCAGAGTTTCAGATTTAAAGGTTGCAGAGAACAAGAGTTGAGGAGTTGCAGTTCTTAGCTCAGGACAGAACTCAAACAAATACTGTACTGAGTGTCATTGGTGGTTCTGGAAAAAAAAACCTACATTAAAAAATAAAAGTAATACAAATATTCGTGTGACTCTAAGGGTTATCTATTGGTGGCTTAGAGCTAGAGTGTAGCACTACAGTATATTAAACTCTGTGAGGCCTAAAATTGTGAGTTCGCAACTCAGTACCTATGCAGCTGGGTGGATTACATAAATGAAATTGGAGTTTTAAGGTCAAACAATCATTTTTATCTCATAAATTAGAGAATATCTGTTTTGGAAGAGAATACTATTAAGGATGGAGTACACATCACTACTTACCTGTAGAACTCGGAAGCCAAAAGCAAACTTGTGCTGAAATAATATATGGGGTATTCATAGTCCCTCCATCTCAATATAAAGCATTCTTCCCTCCCTTTAAAGACATAGATGACTTATTAATGAAATCCATGTTTTTAGCTCTTTCATATCTTTAGTAGGTTTTCTTGCTGCTTGACGTTTACTGTATTACAAGTTAATGAGATAACTTTAGAGGGACAATGCACCATCACTAAGGGAGTACAGGAGAAGCATAGAGCATTTAATGAGACTTTTGATGTAGACCTTCTTTGCTCCTCCTGAAATTTTCCCCAGAGGATATTAATATCATAAATACACATGAAATTTTTTAATTAATGAAACTAAGGAATTTGTTTTTTATTCAGTCTTGGCACTGGAAACAGTATTGTTCTGTAAATACATAGTCCAGTGAGTTCAATGAAGCGATTAATTTGTGCACAGAAAAACGAGCTTCTTCCACCTCCCCCAGACCACTGTATTTGGATTTTTTGGGTATATATACACTGCAGTACTCAAAGGTAGCTGTATAAGTGTGATTCCAAGTTGGTACTGTGCATCTTTTTTCTGTAGTGGAGCTCTGTTAGTGCTGACCATTGATTGTGTGGTGTGTGTGTGTGTATGTGTGTTGGCTCCTCACTTAGTGTCAGATTGCAGATTGTATCTGTATTAGTTATTCTCTCCTTTGCAGGAGTGGGATCTCCAGGGAGTTACCTTTGTACTTTGCATGTTAAAATCAGAAAGCCTCTAATTAATGTGTTTAAAACACCCAGTATGACTGCTAGTGTCAAGCATAAAAAGCCTTTTAAAGGAGTTAGACTCTACAAGTCATTCTCCTCACTTTTTGAGTCAGCATTTTACTAGGTGATGAGAGAGATTATGCTAATTCATTTGATTTACAGGTGTCTTGATTATCTGAGAGTCAAAGCATTTTTAATACTCTTGCTCTGAATACATTCCTGTTCAGGTTTTCAAGATTATAACATTTTAAAGTGATTTTGCCTGTGCCATTTAACTTAATTGCACATGACAGCTAGGAATAGATTCTGCATTCAGTTTACGTGTGTGCATTCCCACTGAAGCAAATGGAGTTGCACCTGTGTAACTGAGGGCAGAATTTTGCCCCTCACTGTTGTTACAAAGCTATCCTTAGGAGCCGAAAATACTACTTAGGGTGTCCTATTGTAGTAAGCAGGTGACATATTTCAGTAGATAGGGTACCAGATTCTATGAACTGCTATGAATTCATTCTGGACCTCTCTGCTTCTAAGTTTCCTCATCCGAAAAATGCAAAATAAATGTTTTAAGTACTTGGAGATTTACAGATGAAGAGTACCACTAAGTATCATAAGTAAAATAACTAGTTTGTCCTTTCATTTTACAAGTGGAGGCGTATTAAAGAAAAACAAGCACAGGTTTGTAATGTTTTTCTAATGCTGATGGAATGCCATGAAACGAAGCATTAGACAAACATACCATGGGGAACAATCCTGAACTGGCAGGGGGTGAGTTACATGCCCCCACAGGCAGGCCTCTTCCATTTTGTAATTGCATTGATTTTAAGATGTTTGAGGTAGGGATTATATTCCTCTGTTCCTACAGCACCTAGCACAATATGGCTAGGCCCAATCCTGATTGGATCTAGAGCTAGGTGAAATAAATAGCTTTATTTATGTGTGGGTGGCTTTTTGCTAGAAAATGCAGTCTTACTATTCATTGGGAGAGGGACTTAAACTTGGGTCTCCTCTCCACCTCCTGCCAGCTGAGTGCTGGGCAGAGTGTCTCTGTCTCTCTTGTTGAAGCTGTTCTATTTTGTATAAATAACTAAATATTCAAAGGAACAGGGACTTGAACTTCGGACTCTGGCATCACAGGTGAGTGCTCCTACTACCAGATTATGGAGTTTTTCCTCTCTGACCTAATGCTTATTCAAGATATTAGGCAGAGGGGAGAATTGAATCTGGGTCTTCCACACTGGGCTAAAAGTTGTAAGGAAAGCACTGCTTGCTACTCTGAATGTAGCCCTTTAAAAACACCCAGAAACAAAGTATCTGTGGTCAAACAACCTGAATTATTATAATGTAAGGCTAGAAGGGACCTTGAGAAGTCATTTGTTTCAACACCCTGCTCTGAGGTAGAACTAAGAATACCTAGACCATCCCTGACAGGCGTTTGTCTAACCTGTTCTTGAAAATCTCCAGTGATGGGCATTCCACAACCTCCCTTGGAAGTCTATTCTAGTGCTTAACTCTTCTTATAGCTAGAAAGCTTTTCCTAATATCTAATCTAAACCGCCTTTGCTGCAGATTAAGCTGATTGCTTCTTAACAGTGGCATGGAGAACAACTGATTGCTGTCCTCTTTTTAACAGTCCTTAACATATTTGAAGACTTATCTAGTCCCCCCTCAGTCCTCTTTTCTCAGGACTAAACATACCCAGATTTTTAACCTCTCCTCATAGGTCAGGTTTTCTGAAGCTTTTATCATTTCTGTTAC